GCACCGGCCAGCTCCGGGCTCGCTGGGTCAAAGGCCACTCGGGCGCGGCCGAGGCCAGGGGGCGCGGCCTCTCCGAGGAGGACGGGGCGGGCAACGAGGCGGCGGACCGGCTGGCCGGGGAGGCTGCAGCTGGCCGTTTGCCGCCCCCCGCGCAGGTCAGCGAGCGGCCGCGGCAGCTGCGGGCGCCGGAGGCGGCGCAGCGCATGCTCGTCACCGTGGAGCTGGCCGCGGCGAAGGCGAACCACGGCAGCAGCGGCGATGGCGGGCCACGAGTGCGACGCTGCTGGGCCCCCGCTGGGCCCCGCCGCCGCCGCCGCCGCGCGCCCCGCGAAGGGGGCGACGCGGCCGTCGCGGCCGTCGCGGCCGCGGCTGCGCCGCCGGCAGCACAGGCCGCGCCTGCCGATGCCCCCAGCGCCCTGGCGCGGCGGCCGCAACGCAGGCGTTGTTCGCAGGCGCGGCGTGGCGGGCGCACGCGGCCTCGCAGGGTCCGGCCTGGGTGGCCTGCATGGTCTGCGGCTGCTGGGCGCCGGGCTGGGCGCGCCTCGCCAGCCGCCCGTGCGCGGGGTGGGCCCCGGCGCTGCCCCCGCGGGCCGCCGGACTGCTGCTGCTGGGGGCCACGCGCGCCGGCGGCGGCGAGGCCGATTGGCGCGCGGCGATTCGCCGCCGGCTGCGGGAGCGCCCTGGCCCGCCGAACTAATTAGAGAGAATTAGTTCTCGCCCTCCCTGGAGGCTGCGGTTTTTCCCCCTGGTCTCCCCCTCCCCCTTCCTCCTCCCTTTCTGCTGTGTCTTCTTGTGCCACTGGGCTTCGTTGGACGGTAAAAAGTGCCCGCGGCCGCGTCGGCTCAAGCGGCCGGCCGCCCAAATATGACTGCGTGTCATCGTGAGGCACACGATTGCCATCGAGACCAAACGGATCTTCCAATTGCTTAAGATGGTACATCCTCTCCTACGGGGACTACCGTTACTAAGGTATAGCAGAGCTGGAGCTTGGCTTCGGATAAGGCGAAGCTGTTGGCTGGGCCTCCCAGCCCCCTTCAAACTTTCTGGGGGTCGTGGGGCACTCTGGGAGCTCTCTTGGGAGCCTCTTGGGACACTCTGGGGGTTTTCTTCGGAAGGTTGCGGGTAGTCTTGAGGCCATCCTGGCGGCGATCGATCAACGGAGGAGCATCCTCAATTAACGCACTCTTCCCCCTGGGAGGCCAGCATGGGTCCAAACCCCAGAACAAGTCAACGCGTTGTGGCGTCTCGCTGACGAATGTCATTTTGGACGCTCTACCCCCCCCGCGGGGCGCTCCGTTCAGACCCCCCATCCCCGAATGGGAAGAAGGGGGAGTTGAGACGCCCCAGACCACCAATTGCCCAAAGGGCTGTTGGGATTCTGGAGTTTTTGTTAAGTCCAGCGGGGCGTGGTCATGCGCGTGGCCAACGTGTTACCCCCCACCATCGGCGATGCCAATTGCGCAACTGTCAGCACCTTTAGGAAACGTGCGGTTTCCGATGTCGTATGTGTCGTTTGCCACCTCCCGTCGTGCTGGTTGCGTGCAGTTGTTGACGATGTGTCCTCCTCTCCCTCCGCGTCTGTCGCGGGGCTCCTGCGGGCTTTGGGGCGTCCTTTGGGTTAGTCTTGGAGGCAACTTTCGGGCATGTCTGAAGTCGGGCCTGTCCCTCTACAGGGGGAATCTTTAAAAGTAGTCAACAAATAGCCGGGGGATTGTTTTTTTTGTATTGTTGGGCATCGTTTGGGTGTTTGTTTGAGTATGTTTTATTTGTCCTCCAAAATCCCTCTGTAGGGGGCTGACCCGACCTAAGGCATGTCAGGCATCTGCGGGGCCATCTTGTGGGGAGGGCCCGCAGCCTGCGAGTCCCCTCTGCGGGGCGTCTCTTGGGGCCCGCCTTCCTGAGGGCCTCGTCGATACTCTTGGCCTGCCTGGGGGGCGTCCTCGGGCGCCCCTCATCCTCTTCCTGCTGATCCCTCTTCCTCCTCCTCCTCCTCGTCCTCCTCCTCGTCCTCCCCCCTCTCCTCCTCTTCCTCCTGCTCCTCCTCCTCCTCCTCCTCCTCCTCCTCCTCCTCCTCCTCCTCCATCTCCATCTCCATCTCCATCTCCTCCTCCTCCTCCATCTCCTCCTCGTCCTCCTCCTGCTCTTCGTGGCCGTTATCGTAATCGCAGCCGTCGTCGTCGTTGCGGCGGAGATTATTGAATCGCTTCGCCCATTTCGCTGGCCTTGCAGAAACCGAGTCAAAATTGCTGGAAGAAGCATGTTATTCCAGTTGAGACCATTTGGGGGGGGCCCCATCGGGGCTGTCATTGGGCGTGTTGGGGGACTCTCAGGTCGCCCTCAGGCCATCTTGGATGTTCTTGAAGCCTTTCAAGCGCGTCGTAGCCCTTCTTGAGCCATGTTGGGCATCTTGGAGGCCGTGGATGGTGGCAATACATCGGAGGGGATTGATAGTGTAGGTTTTGCGTAGGGCCGCAAACTACTGCAATTACCTCACAGGAGCTCCTGACAAAAAACGTACATGTACGCAATCGGCAGCGCCCAAGGAAGAGAAGTTCGGGTCTGCGTAGAGCTGCACTCTGCTGGACCTCCCAGGAGCTCCTGAAAGCGCCAACAGCTGCGCAGATGGCATAGCCCATGGAGGGGAGCAACAGCTTGGGAAGGGGCACTGCTCAGGGAAGGGAGCAACCTGCCAGCCCCCCAGCTTGCCGTGGGTGAACATGCGTGTGAGACGCTCGTCTGTCCCCCTCTTTCCCCCTTGTCGTCGCTTTTATTTTCGTTGTTTTGCCGATCGGCGCGGGCCCTCGCACCCCCCCTCCCCCCCCCCAGTGGAGTGCAGTCAAGACGCTGAAATAAGATACAGTTTGGGTTCGGAAGGGGTTCGATGTTCCTTAGGTTCCTCCAGTGCTGCTCCTCTTGCCCTCCTGGGCACGGAGGCGCTTACAGGGCCAAGAAGGGGTTTCGTTCCTTATTTAGCGTTCCTTCTTTCGCGGCCCGACTGTAGATCTTGGCTGTTTTTTGACCCCTGTTCCGAGCGGGTGGAGTCTCCCCCAGAGGCCGCACTCTTGCAATCAGTCGCGCTAAGCAGAGGTCCGGAGCCAGACCTCCCCCCCCTCCCCCCCTTCCGCCCAAAGTCGAAATGCCGAACAAAAAGACACTTGCCTTTCCACCTCCCCTGGGGTCCAAACTCCTGTCATGGGGGGGGGGTCCTGGGAACCCGCCGGCGGCTCTCTGGGGCACTTGGAGCGGCCGAACCGCCACTTGCAGGAGCTTCTGTTCTGGGAGGTCCAGCGGAGCGGCGAGGCTCACTCAGGAGGAAAAGAAACACACAGACACAATGAATCCTCGATTCCCCAGAAAATATGGGAAAATATGGGAAGTGGGGGGGGGAGACAGAAACCCAGAAAATATGGAAAATATGGGGAATCTTTTGATTTGTGTGTATTTATTTGTGTGTCCTGGGGCCCCTTCGCTCACCTGCAGGCAGCTGCCGTTCGGCGTCGCCTCCCAGTGGGCATTCTCGGAGCGCGCCGTGCGCAGTGCCCCCCACGCAGCTCGCAGAAGAGGCTACAGAAGGGGCGTTGACCTAAGGAACCCTAAATAAGGAACGAGGCCTCTTTTTCCCATAAGTTGAACTTCGATTTCCCATCGAAACCCTAGCCAAAACCAAAGGCGAACTGCAAAACAACAAAGGAACACTGAGCCCCTCCCCAACGAAAAGTGTTCATTCCTCAGGGCCCCGACTGTACGCGCCCCTTCAAAAGTTCACCCATCTTGGACGAGCCCTCTGACTTGGCATCGCTCGGACGTGTGCACTCTCTCTCGGCGAGAGGACCATCGAGGACCATCCTGGACCATCGAGCAGAAACAAACACACGCACGAAGCCGAAAAAAACACGCACCGGAAATGGACGTCCGAGCGGCGGCAAGTTGGGTACATGTGTTGCTGATGCCCGCCCGCTTCCGCGGCCTGGCGGGCCAGCGCACCTCCGCGGCACGCTCGTGCAGGTCGTGCCGGCCGTGCTGCGGGGCGCGTGGGCGGCGGGCTGCCCGAGGCGCCCCGGGGGAGCTCCCCGCGGGAGCGGCGGCGGGGCCCGGTGCGCTTCGATGCGGCCAGATGCGACTCGGTTCGCCGGCTGGGGCCGCGATGTCGGTGCTCGGGGCTCACGCCGCGGAGGTGGGCGCTAACGGAGGTCGGCCAAGCCCCTGTGGCTGACCCGGGTCGGGGAGCCACGTGGAGCCGATTTAGGGGGCCACATGCGAACCCTGCCCCTACCCGCCACGATTTCTGAGGGGGAGGGTGGGGTTCACTTCGCTCGGGAGCGAAGTGAACCCCACCCTCCCCCTCAGAAATCGTGGGGGGTAGGGGCAGGGTTCGCATGTGGCCCCCTACGATTCCCTCGGCTTGCCCTCCGCTAACCCAGGTGTTTTGGAGCTGCTCAGCGGGGCCGGCCAGGCTTCGCGACAGGGCCGTGGCCGACCTGGGTCCACGCTGACCCGTGGTAGTGCGTCCCCGAGGCTCGATTCGGTTCGGTTCGTTTCGCCGGCATCGGCCGGGGCTTTGTGGGCCCCGGAAACGGCAGGGCCGTTTTTTCACTGTTTCCAAAAAAATGCCCCTTGAAAATGGAAACGGCAAAAAAACGGCGACCGAGAACGGCAAAAAAACGGCTCCAGGATTGGAACCGGAGCCGGAACCGGTCAAAAAACGGCGACGGAACCGGTAACAAAAACGGCGTCGGAACCGGCAACAAAACGGCAAAACGGAACCGGTAACAAGAATGGCCTTGTCGTTTCCAGGGCCCACTAAGGGCTGGGGCCAGATGGCGCCTGGCGCGGCGACCGATTTCGATCCGATTCGGGGCGGTTCGCTGGCGGTCTGATCCGCTTCTGATCCGAACCGATTTCGCGAATCGGTCAATCTCGGACCTTGGTGATGGCGTGGAGGCGGCGAGAACGCAAACATTTGCATGTTGTTACGCAAGACGGGTCGGCAAGCGACGCAGGCACCCTGACTTACTCCAACAATGACCAGTACGACGGGGACTGGCGCTGCCCTCAGCTCCTCGCTTCGCTGGGGCCTTCCTGTAGGGATGGCGCAGGTTGGGAGAGGCGGCAGCAGAGGCAGCAGATGAAGGGGGCGCAACCAGGCAAATTGGCCAGGTAGGGCCGCGTACTGCGATCCGATTCGATGTGATTGGATTCGCCGGCTGGGGCCGCAATTCCGATGCGATTCGATTCGGTTTGATTCACTGGCATCGGCTGGGGCCAGCTGGATCGTGGCGCGGCGATCCAATCCGTTTCCTGTCCGACCCGATTTCGCGATTCGATCCAGTTCAGGCATGGGAGAGGCAGAGAATGGAGGGGGGCCCTCGGGAGCTAGGGCGGGAACGAAGTAAGAAGGGATGAGGAATATTATTGCTGGCACGAGGGTTGACAAGAAGCTCAGATTCGGAGTGGCACACTGATGTCCTAGGATGCGGCTCCTGGGAGGTTGCATTCTGTTTCGGTGCTGGCATTTTCGCAGTCGATAACCAGTTTAGGCTCGAACTGCCCGGCTTAATCTCGCTCAATCCAGCTTAATCTGATATTCAAGCGAGCCTGATCCGGCGAAGTGGCCCGCTAATCGGGCTTAGTTGCCTTCATCGTTCCAACGAAGACCTCTCAGGAGCTGCCTCCTAATATGTCCCTCGTGGTCGGGCCCTCCACCTTGAGTAAGTCGGGCCTGTCCCTCTACAGGAAGAATTTTCAAAATAATCCAAAACATAGTGTGGGGACGATGTAGTGAGCATGTTTGATTATGTTGGTGTATGTTTTGAGTATTAACTGTTCGCCCAATATCCGCCTGTAGGGGGACATGCCCGACCTAAGCCGCTAACGATGCCTCGGTGATGCTGTGCGATCCTCCGACTCCATCTGCTCCAGCGTCATGTGGGAGGTCTCCAGCAGTGGGGCCGCGCATCGAGATGCCGCATGCCCTTCGTCAGGGTGCTTCGGGCTTCTCTGCCGCGCGCGCCGCGCGGTTGTCTCTTGCCTGGTTGCTGAGAAGCTGCCACGCTCAGGGCGCATTGGGTTCGGGTTCCCCCCTCTTAAGGGGTACCGCGCGCGTGGATTTTTCCAGGGTTGCATTTTTTTTTTTTGTGTGTGTGTGTGTGTGGGTGGGGGGGGCCCTGCGGCCGCGTCCGCACAGCACCACCACTCGGAAGGCCCCCCTGGCGTCCTTCCCCAAGGTGCCCCCCCGCGACGGACGCCCCGCGGCGCCCGCCCCACGTCGCGGCGCCCCAGGGAGCGGGGCACCGGGGCATGGCCTCCCCCGCACGGAGCCTCGGCGGCGGCAGGGGGGGGGGGCCCGAATGCGGGGTGGAGAGGAGGGCCCTCCGGGGGCCTCTCCGGGGCTCCTTTCGGGGGCCAGCGGGGGCCAAAGAAGGGGATCGTTGCCAGGTGGGGCGCATGGACGGGCGAGGCATCGTGGCGCAAGTCCCAGCCCACGGGCCGAAGAGCAAGAAGCACATCATGCAGGCCACCACCAGCACACACACACACAGAGACACACACGCACCCGCACACGCACACGCACACACACACACACATCTAGTATGTTTCTACGTATGCACGTACACAAACTCACAGCAGGAGCCCCTGGGGTGGTTTCGATCGGTTTCCGCGGTGGAGGCACCTGCCACGGAGCTCCGCCGGCAGTTGATTGTAAGCACGGGTGAGCGATGCAACGAATACCCCTCTCCCCCTCGCACGTACAACAGCGCGAAGATTGGCCATTGGGGTTTTTTTGATCTCCACGGACCCACCGCATAGTGCAAGCAACTGGCAGGGCGGGACCTGCCAGCACTGAAAGACCTCGCCTCGGCGAGAGCCGCTATGGGGAGGGGGCTTCGCGAGTTCCTTTCGGAGCGCCCACTATGGCCCCCTCCCCGCACGGATCGACCCTCGGCTCGGGCTCCCACTGTCTGGCAGACATGCCAGAGACAGTGCACAAAAAGAAATAAACTCGCCACACAAGAGCCAAACCTGTCACAGGAGGCGAAAGACAGGCGAGGACAGGCACCAGCTGACCCTCAGCTGGAAAAAATCGGCAACGCGGAGAGCGTCCTGAGCGGACAGGCGGTCGCCGCTTAGGTCGCGAGCAGCAACCTATGCCACAACAGCCTGAAAGCCAAGGAAGCAAAGCACGACCGAGGATAATATTGAGAACAGAAACCGAAAGAAAAGGAATGGCTCCGAAGGCCAACGCACGAACAAAAGGTTCATACCTGCCAAAAGAGAAAGGCAGGCGAGAACGCAGAAATTCAATCCGAATCCCCCGACCCCGCCTCCACAGTCCCGCCCGTTCCCAGATCGTCCGCTTCGCAGCGGAGAGACGCAGCAATGCGATTCAAGCACTCCCTGGTGGCTGGGGCCGAGGCGACCACATCACACGAGGAAGAGCTGGGCGCAACGCTGCAGGCAGGAGCACTGGCAATGGCTGCAATAGCTGGCACTGTGGAGCTGGGACGCTCTTGCCCTCCAGCGCTGGCAGCACTGCCAGTCAGGCCAGAGGGCGCAGAGCTCGAAACATCTTCCTCCGAAAATTGAGGATTCGAAACCAAATACGAGTTGAAGCAACGCACTAGCGAGGTGTCATCAACTGTGACACCTTTGCTGGACTTAGAGTACTGCGGGTGAATTCCCTTACACAAGGCGGCCCAACCCTGACGGCCCGCACGGGTAGGCTTCTTGCAAACTTCGCCTAGGCCTCTAATCCTGCCACCTGTGGAGTGGCATTTACATTTTAGGCATATGAAAAGCACTGTCTTGTCAGAGCAGTCGAAGGCAACAGTCCTATGCCCAAGAGCATCTTGCCTTGCCGCATGCAGTTTAGAATCCTGGGGGCACCTACCAGGGGGAGGCCGTGACGAGCCCCTGTTCCCGCGGAGGCACACCGCACACCTCCAGACGTCAGCCCAGACTTCCCAACGATGGCCTACCTTACTGCGGGAGCTTAAATGCTCAGCAGGAGGAGGAGGGAGATAGGGAACGTCGAGAGAGAGCTTAGGCCAAAGAGGAAGCAAGTTAGCAGCAAGGATGCAATAACCCCTGGCCGCTTCCACAAGCTTGTCCACATTGGCTAATTCAGTCGGGTCAGATGGGTGAAGCTGAAGGGCATGTTTGGCCCCCACATCCGCATCAGCATTTCCACGCCTGAGGAAACGTTCTCTCTCCGAGATGCCCTCCTGGTGCACATCTAAATGAGCTTTGACCTTAACAATTCCTTCCAAAAAACGGCCCTCAAAGTTGTTGGCACACATGATCATTCCTGAATAAGACCTCTTGCCCGAGTACCTCTCAGGCAAGGGCAACGTGCTGTGAGACACAACGTTCGCACAGTCCGAATAAATTGTGGTCGGCAACACCAAGAACTGTGCGGCGACACATCTGGCAGCATATTCAGCCGCCTGAGGCGTCTGAGGAAGATGAGCCCAGACAGGGCCTCTCGCCTCTCCAAGGCACGTGCCATCCTCAGCGTTCATAGTAATCGCATAGGCAGCTCTAGACAATTCCTTGATCGGGTGGCGCTGACAGGACCCATCTATGAAGACGTGCCCCCACATTTCCCCGTTCACTGGGACCCTGGGACCTTCAGGGCTAGGGAGCTCGTCACTATGCCAGACGAACTGAAGGGCATTAGTTCCCTCCTCAACAGGACGCGGCAACACATCAGCGGGATGAGCGAAAGCTCCTCTAGTATAAAGAGCTCGCACATGAGGGTCAGGTTCCGCCTGAGCTGTCCACACGGCGATGGCGTCTAGCACGACTGAGGCCGGGACCAGCTGAGTCCGCGACTCTTGGACTTCCGTCGCCGTGCACTGCCAAAGCCTGTGAAACACTGAGTCGGGCGCAGCAGAGCAGAGAGGGCAAAGCGGGTCTACCTGATACCCACATGCCAAGGCCTTGTCCGCAGACCAAATGGCATCACAAGAGCAAGCCCGAATCCAGCCCCTCTGCGCTGGTGTGAACTTCTTACTGACACAAGCAGCTCTGGGAATGTCCAGACACGCCCTGCATTCAAGCCCCCATTTACCCCCAAGATCCCGCTCGAGCCCACGCAGGTAGGCCTCTTTACACATAGTTTCCAACAGTTTGGGGGGAATCAGGCCGAGCTGCAAACGATAACCACGGTCGTCAAAGATAGCGGCATAGTCAACCATGGTCCAACCGAGGCGAAGGAGGGCAAGGCGAAGGGCAGACACGGGGCCCTTAACAGTAGGCCAAGTAACCCTAGGCAGCGCAAACACACTCCTGAAGCCGTCTCGGAGCTCCCTATGAGGAATGGACCAGGGGAACTCACGAGTTTGGGCCAGCCAGACCTCTTTGCTCCAGCGCAGGATGGGGGCCGAAGCAGCTCGCCAGCACGGGTCGTCCGACAGAAGGCTGACCGCCGTGAGAGACCTACTTTTAGCAAAAGGCCTCACTGTCTTGAAAGCTCGCCGCCTCATGGTTAGGAGAACCTGGTCGCTCACCCCCAGGATGTCCGCCCCATAGGCCCCTCCAGGGAGGGGGCCCGCGGCGAAAACTCTGAGGGCTTTTCGACCAAGGTAACCTGCCTGACGCTTGAGACGACGGGCTTTCCTGCAGAGCAGCGCCACACGGCTCTTGAGCTTCGAGCTCCGCCCTGAGGCCCTGACCGAGGTGCCAGCACAGTAGTCAACTCCGAGGTTCACAGTCGAGGCAGTGAACTTGCCTCCAAACTGCCCCAGGGCCGCAGCCAGCGCGGTGGCCAGGCCTTTGGAGGACGCAACAGTACAAATCTTGTCAAGAGCAAGCTGACAGTTCATCTCATTCTCATCAGTAATAGCATGATGGAGAGCGAGAGAGACGGTAACAATGGACGAGATAACATGTTCTCTGGACCCCGTGCATGACACTCCAGTATCATCAATATATATGTCAAAATCAAGGGAGGGAACAGAGGGGAGCTTATCGAACGAAGACAAACCATAAATGCGTATATGAGTAGTGGCCATGCTGCAGCCAGCGATGACTCCTTTCTGCAC